TTTGTGATTTGGGATCAGATCAGCCCGAGGGAAGCTGAGGTCAGTGGCTGCTTTTTAAAGCACGCACTGTCTCCTGCAGCCTGCAGGCTCAGCCTTGTTTCGGTAACCAGCACTCAGATAGGACAGGCTGCAGGCCTGAGCCGCTTGGGCTTTCATGCATGCCTTAATTACAGAGACGGATGCCCGTAATGCTGGAGTACTTAGGAAATAAGGAAGAAACCCAGCTTCAGCAAAGGCATTTGTAGGATGGCTGGAGAGGCCCAAGGGGCTCCACATTGAATGGGGAAAGGGTGCTGGTGCATTCAAAATCTTAAGAAATAAAACTACTTTTTTTTTAACTGGCAAACATGCATGTGGAACGCCTCACTGCTGCAGCTGAGGTGCAGCCAGGAGCAGAATCTGAGCCAGGCAAGGAGAGCTGGAGTAGAGAGCTGGGTGCTTACACCCGTCTCAGGCAGGAGCAGACCCTAGGGTGGCAGGGTGGCACCTCGAAGCAGAGCTGCCGCGTGGGCTCCAGGGTCTGTTTGTTGCCTTTGTGGCAGCTGCCGTGGTGTGGTTCAGAGCCTGTGCTGAGACATGTGTTTTCAAGGGATTTCAGACAGCCCCTTTCTTGGCAGGAAATTACATGATTTCAGAGCAAAGGACACAATATGGAAAAATGAAAAAGCTTTTTAGTTTTCCTTCCTTGGCCTGCTGTCTCAAGAGATGACCCTAAGCACACAGTAAGTGCAAAGTCAAGATTTTTGTCATGTTTTAAAGAACGCAAGAATTTCTTCCAAGCGTACAGAATTTAGCCTCCCCAGCCTCAGTGCAAAGACCAACCTTTGCAGGTGAGCTGGTCAGTGGAGGGTTTTGTACTAGTGCCCTAACGGCAGTGTAGCAGGAAATACTTGATGTCGAACCGGTTCGCATGAGCAGTGAAAGATAAAAGGCAGATGTGCTCAGATTGCCCCTTGAGAGCATCTTTACTTAGCTAGAATTCACTGCATGACAAAAAAAAAAAAAAAAAAAAGAGAGAAGTTAATTGCAGTTTTTCAATATTAAATCTTTATTATATACAAAAATATTTTGTTGGGAATTAACAGAATTTCACAATTTTGTACATTAATATTTTTATGCTTGGCTGTGTTTATTGTGAAAATATTAGCTGTGAAAAAGACAATGGGGGCTTTAAAAAACAAGTTACAATTTAAAAATGTCCTACGTATTAGCTGACTTTTTAACATCAAGTCAGAATGCTAACAAGTCCCATCTAGGCCTGCTCTATAGCATTGTATGCAAACAATTAGGTACTAAATCATCTTCAGCTTCACATTAGAAATAGTTAAGATTTTATTTTGCATGATGTTTTCAGCTAGTAAAAAGTATTTTTTTTTTTTTTTTTTTACAGGAGAGCAGTTCTTAAAGTTTTAAAAGTGTCAAATCCAGTTCAGTATTCTATAGAAGGAAAAAAACAACATGCAAAGCTTCCAATAGGGAAAAAAAAAAACACTTTTGTGAGAACAAGCAAGAACAAGAAATGCACAGTGACAGACTTCCAATACACATTTAAAGCAGTACACTTACTTAAACAAGACTATAGTTCTTAGCCCAGTTTGGGGTGAGAAGGAGGCAAACTTTCTGTATTTTAAAACCTAAGGAGGAGGTTCCCCCTTCTATCAGAATACTCAAGTGTTACAAACAGGTAATGTGTAATGCAGGACTTGGGGGGAGGGAAAGCTCAACATGCATTTTTAAAGGGGGAGAAATCCTTTCCAGCAGTTCTCTCCGTACATGTGTGTACAAGACCTAAACCAACAAAAATCAGCCAAAAAAAAATAGCCTAATTTTGGCAGCTGACAGTTTTGCTGCCACTCCCGGAACTGCACAAAGCACTATCATTAGATTTGCTCTATACTATATTTTGTATAAGAGATCAAATAATTGAGAATTTATTTGGGTTTTTGGAAGAGATTTCACTATATTCTAGGTAAAGGTTAGCTACTTACAGAGCGATGACTTGGATCAGCTGTGAAGACAGCCAGACTTGCATGGACAAGCATTAGTGTGGAGCTGATGACATCAAAAGGAAAAGAGTAAGTGGGAGAAAGTGTCTCCAAGCCTACTTTAACCATCTTAGCCTTGCAGCTTGGTCATATTCCACATCCAACCACTGCATTAGCAGCAAAAGCAAATCTATACCCAACTAGCAGGAGAAAAACTTAAAAAATATTGAAAACAAAATTCACATTTACTTTAAATGCAATGTATTCTATAAATTATAAATATTACTGAAGCTCTCCTTAAAGGAAAAAAAAGTTTGGATGTGAAACTGCTTAACAGCCTTCACCAAGCTGGAATTTTTGTTTGTTAGTCTGTGCAGGTAAATTCCAGCTTCAGTACCAGTAAATGAACCAAGAATTCAACAGTTCAACAAGTGACGGTCTGTGGAACAGTATCTCACTGTGGTCCAAAATGAAGAGTTCAAGTAAGTTAGCAGACACTGTTTTGAATTTCTTGCAGTATATTAACCCTAATTTATCTATCTACATAGCTCTACTTGTGTGTGAGTGCACTTTTGAAACTATTTAGAAGCCAAAGCTGCCTCTTAATACTCGTTACAAGTGTTCTCAATGTATTAGATTGTTTCTTTAGTATTGGGACTGCAAACACCATTCTTAAATACTGGTGTCTGTATTGAATGCTATTACCTCTACAAGATAAGCTGGAATCCCAAACAATTCACATCAGTAAGGTTCTTTAAAATGTGAAAACTGAAGGGTGGGGTTGGGTGTTGTTTGGGGAAAGGGGCCAGGACTTCATTTCACCACCTTTGCTAACGACAGTCTGCCAGAGAAAGCAAATGAAAGTACCTTAACTAAAGAAATCCCGAGATTACTGACAGCTAGAGAGAGATTTAAGGCAAGAAGTCTAGCAGACTAAAAGTCTTCACATCAACTAACCACTACTTAAACAGGGATAAATTGATCCCTAACACTGTTGCAGAAGTAGTATCATTAAGTTTGGCAATAACGACACAGTGCTTTAGCGCTTCAGAACTTGGGTGAGGCAAGAAACCCTGCATGAAGTAAATAATCCTTCTCTGTTTGCATGGTAGATGTGACAGACTTCCACCTGTAACTGGTCTCACAGCTGCACCTGCAGGCACAACGAGCGGCTGGGAAGCTGTCGCAGTAGGCACTATAGATGCTTTGAGAAGTGGCATCTGCCTCAGCCTTCAATTGGAATGAAAACGATAGATGAGAACTGGATGGAAAACCAAGGAACAGGTAAAGGAAGTTTGAATTTGTTCTTGTCCACAGTAGCAGTTTGTGTAAAAACAGCAATAACCCAGATCTCCCAATTTCTGGAGTTGTGATCTACTTGGTCACTCTGTACTGGTCCTTACTTAAGCACAGCAGAGAGGCAAACTTGGCTCCATAGGGTCCCTAGCTAGGAATTTTTTGTGTTTAAGAGAAAAAAAGTTTCCTATTTATTATCTGAATCACCCTTTAAAACCAACAAACCAACCACAGACAACTTCCTTAACACTGAGCTGCAGGCAACTCGTACAGCAAACCACTTAGGTGTGATTTTAGAAGATGCAATGAATTAGAACAGAGGATCAGCAAAATAAAATTGTTCCATTTTGAGCCTGTCACAGAGGTGACAGTTTGTGTAAACACAAATTCCAGAGTTCAGAGATGATCTGCTGTCCAGCTACAGAAAGCTTTTTTGTATGACCAAGTGCACAGAGCTGCCCTGACCTGAGGACTGTGCACAAATGAGGAATACTGCACTGGGTAAAAATTTATTTCCCATGCCTGGGTCAGTACGTGATTTTACCTTCATTGGATATCTGCAGGTCATTTGTAAAGCCCTTGGTAAGTCCATGCAAGGTGACATTGTCGAACTGAACTTAATTGCCTACAGCTTGCACATGATGTGGAACCTCAAGTAGGCCTGCCAGTGTAACCTAAGAGACAGCAAGGTAATCAATCACTTGGGTATACACACACCAAAGTATTTACAGTAGAGTTGAGGTTGGTGTATACTTACAGGAATTTTTGGTGCGCTCAAGGAAATAACTTAGGGGTCTTGGTGTACTGGCTGTATTTTTATGTATAACTTTTCATACACAGGGCAACTACAGTGTTTCTTTTATAAGTCTCTCTATATGTACAGAATTTTACAGCACCTCATGCACTGTTTAAAACATAGAAATTACAGATAAATATAGAATTTTTAGATTGAAATATCTGTATATTTAGAAAAATATACATTAGTAAACACAATAAACCAGGTAGAGAAGTGTACCAGTTCTAAAGTCTCACATGCAGGTACATTTCTGGATTAAGTCATGGTAGATAGTAATGTGGTAGCAGACATGAGCATTTGTTGTTTTACCATCCACATACATACATATACACAGACAACTATTTGATAATTCACTTTTCTAAACTACTTAAATAATTATCTTGTGATACATACCACATATCTTAAACATTTAGCAGCATCTTCACCTTGCTCAGACACGCCTATTGTTATTAACAGTCAATGTAAAAACTTTTCCTGTCAACATCTGGAAAATGAATGTTTCATACAGAATGATACATGAAATCCTCGTTATTTGAAATCCCCCAGGAATACTTCACACAGCTGCAATATGAAAAGTTTTCACTTGCTCAAAACCAGCCTTTCAAAACATCTTTCCCCTAATTGCACAATGTGCAGGTCCCTATCTAACTTCTGATCTCCTGTAAAGAACAGGTAGAGTCTATCCCCACTGTGTATATGACTGCAATGGCACCTTTGTTCTGAGAACCTACACAAATGTATCATTTTGTTTTAATAAAAGTAACTGTTATTCTAGAAATCCTACCAGGTAGTGACAAACTAAACAGAATATCTGATGAAAATCTTATTTCACTTAAAAAAAATTTGAAATGTTATAAACCTGCCAATCTGGACTCTCTATTTGCATGATTTACCAAACAGATGCAAGGAATGTTTCTTTTTTCTTTTTTTTTAAACACTTGCACGTGACCATCCAATTAAAACCTGCAGTCACTTTGATAATGATCCTTGACTGCAGCCTAAGCAACCCATCTCTTACTGCTTCAGAATCGTACTTCTCATTAGCATCGACATTAACAGCACCGGGTCAGCTGCTAGGCTCTGCTGTGCTAACTTAAATGTGCTAGATTTTAAAACGCTATGTGGAGCTTAAGCACAAGCTGAAGTTTTAGCCTTTAGCAAATGCATGGCTACTTGGAGACTGCTCACTAGGTTGGCATTCTGACAGCGTGATCTCTGAGATGGAAATAGGAGGAGTACGGTTTTCCTTACTAAACCTTGGTGCCCACGTTTCATGTGATTCATTTGGCTAAGTGTATGAAAAAAAACAGATGAAAATGAGTGATATTTGCAATAGAAACAACAACATCGGAATTGAAGAATCTTCTCATTCCGTTACTTGAGGAAGAGTGAGCTCAGCCCACTTTTGGCATCACGAATAGAGCATTTTCTAACTTACAATGAAAAGGCATCGTATCTGTCCAGTTAGCACATCTTATTTACAGCATATGTAGGTCTTCTATTACACAGCATACAAACACAGTTCAGTCACGTTCAGCTTGTAGTGCCAAGAGTAAGTCATCAAAATAGTCAAGCAATGGCTCTGCTATCTTTTCTGCTACATAAAACATTTGATCCATTTCTCAAAGCAGCCTCTGAGCGACAGGATCACAGAACACGTCTCCTGGGAAAGGCAAATAAAGGTCTTGTGCTGCTGCCATGCTTAAAAGCTCTGCCAAACTTAAACAAAACCAGAGCAAACACATCCTGAAAACTGTAACAATAAAGCAAAGTAGTGGTACAAATTTTCCTTAGAAAATTTCAGATTTCCTCTAAAAGACTGAAATCTCAGTATTAACAGCTGCACCGACGACCTGTGCTTACACACATTTTTGACTCATATTTTCCAAATACACTGGGATCTCACATTGCTCCCCACCCTCCCCGTTCACCAAACAACCAACTTTATAGGTGTTTTAAATATCATCTGTAGTATACAGGTGGGGTGTTTTTGATTTTGTTTTGTTTCAGATTTACACTTTTCCTGTAGTACAAATCAACAGTTTCCCTCGTGCACATAGCAGTATTTAAGAGCCCCGAAAACAACACTGATTTCCAGTGTAGAAGCTTCTTTTCCTTCAGAAACAGTTCTGAGGACATTGCCTTTTTGACAGCATTCTGTGTCACGCTTTGGTGTTGAAAAAGAATTCAGAAGCCAGGTGCCTGTCACCAGGTGGAAGTGCAATTAAGCAAATAGATGACTTGTGTTTAGACACCTAACCTGATAATTGATGGTGTATGTTACTATATACAACAGCTAAGATGGTAATATAAAATGTGAGCACAAAAAGAGCTAGTCTTAGTGACAAGCTATATTTTCATTTTGTTCTTGTCAAGCAGAAATTTACATTAGCATAAGTTTTGATGAATGAACTTAAAGCTAATATGAGCTGCACTAATGAGCCTACTAAGGGGAGAATTGTCACTAAACCTAAACGAAAATGTTGTAAAACAAAAACAGTATAAACAACATCGCTTTTTAGCAGTAAGCTTCCAATTCACAAGCTATTGGATGAAAAAATCAATTAAAACCACAATGCAACAAAGAGCACAGAAATTCCATTATATCACACTCAAAAATACAACAGTTTATCACACAAATATCCCAAAAGATAATAGAGAACTCAGCTAAATATCACAGGAAATTAAGCCACAGATCACTATATAAATATCAAACAATGTCCTAAGAAAAGAAAATACTGTTTTTTTTTCCTTTTTTTTTTTTTAAGCAATGTGTTTTCACAAATGTGAAAAAACAGTGCTAAACATTAAGCTTCACTCTACAAGGCTCCACTTTATCAGATTCTCTCTAGGCTACTTCACCATCGTACTGAAATACCTTGCATTCAGGCTTTCTAACGTAGGTACTTCACCCATAACAGGCTAACAGGTTAGCTCCCAAGAACTAACCAAGCTTGCAAGGTATTGCTTTATGTTATTTTAAGAGACACGTATAAGGGAACCTACAGAACAGTACAGTTGTCTAAATCAAGAGACATCAGGAAGTTGTGAAACATCAAGAATGCATCAACATTAAGCAGAAAGAAGCTGGAGCAATGGAGCTGGGTGTTGGTTGTTGCTTTTAGTATTTAGAGTTTTGCTCCCATTACATTATTACTTTTTAAGGAAAAAAACAAGAAGAAAAGAAATTAGTGTTCTTTCCTAATAAAAGCTACAGACTCTTGACCAGTTAAACACTGACATTAACAAGTTTTACAAAAATTGTTTCAAGTATCCTCTTTTTAATCACAGTGAAAATGTAAGACCAAGATGTAAATGTTAAAGTGAATGACTGAAAGTTTCTCAGATGAAAAAGGCAAAGGTACTAAATCAAAACATACAAAATGCTTAAACGCATTTCCTTCATGTGATATGAATAGAAAGGTTATCTGTAAAAAGTTAGAAAAATTAAAATAAATTACATATTTAAGTACACTTTCCCTTCAACATTTTTTTTATAAAAAGTCAGAATAGTGTACTTCTGAATATACACAGAGTAAAAACGCACAGGTGCCGCAGGTTATCGTTGGTATCTACACAACATCTTGTCACATTAGTTTATTTGCTGCAGTTGATTTTATTTGTTACTTATGCTCATCTTCAGCAAGCTCAATAGACCCAGCTAATTGGGACCCACTGTGGTTCCAGCCTCAGTTTCTCTATAGCAGTCTGTAGCTTCTCAAAGGCTTTGTCTAGGTTGTCATTTACAATGGTCAGATCAAAATAGTGGTTGTACGCTCGCTGGATCCGGGCACTTTCATCCACTGTTTTTTTCAAATCAGTGTCCTGTTGAAGGCATTTTAGAAATTACTTAGAGCACAAGACTTGGCAAATCCTTATAAATGAAGTACTACTTCATGACACAGTACAACTGACTGTTTAAAGCTCTGTATTGTATATATTGAAAAAATAAGAAAAGGTCTCATTTATAGCAAATCCACACAAAACTCAAGTTAAAATGCAGTGACGGGGCTGAAAATGTTGTACAGTGCTAACAGTGTTAATTATGGCAACCAAATGTTGCAAATTTTGTGATTTTTAAGAAAGCCAATAAAAGCACATGAACTGGGGCCTGTATGCACAACAGGCAGCTAACCATCTCGTGTGTGCAACTGACAATTCAATTAAAACTAAATGAATGCTTTAGGAATAATTGGGTCAATCAGTTATGTAAATATATTTATACTCCTCTCCCCCCCAAAAGGCACCAAAACGTCAAAGAAATATTACCACCATTAAATGAAAGACAATGAAAGTCGCATTTCTAGAAAGATCCTCTGGAATACCCTATTGGTTTTAGAGACTACATTTCAGGTTTCCTACTCACACAACATCATTTCTTCTTTCCTAAACTGCTGCATTGTTTTATTTCTGACATCAGTTGCAAAATGTTCAGGAAATTTTTATTCCTACACTATGAAGCCTTCATGAAGTACTGCCAATCAGCATTTTTTCATGTTTCATTAGTCCTGCATTCTTAGAAGATTCCTCTCCACTTTTACACAAACACAATTTTCTGTAAGCAGTTATGAGCCAATATTCATTTGAATGTTTTGAGGTCCCAATGCAATTGTAAATACAAAAGTGAAAATTAAAACTTTGCAAATAGCCTTTCCTTCAGAGTAAATGAAGAAGGCAAGCAAACAAACATACCATCACAAGCCTCAAAGTTTTTTGCTCTGGCCTAGGAAGCTACAAATAATTTTGACAGACCCACTAGACAGCAGGACATACGCAATAATTCAAAGGTACATTGCTTTTTCATTTGTTCAGGAAGTACAAGATGAAGAAATGAGAAGTCATGCTCTATATACGTGTCCACAGATTTGATGTAGAATCTGTACAGATACATAAAAGGATGTCCCTTAGGGAATCATATATTAGGAAGTGCAGGAAATTATTCTTATACTTGTCTAGACAGTTTTAATGTTGCCTTCTTGTATATGCAAGGCAGAAGTCAGTGTTTGTTTGGGGGAGGGAAGAAACACAGAGCACCCCCAGAGGTACTGGAATCCCTAACAACCAGAGACCACAACTGTGACTGGACAGTCTGTCCTGCGGTTAGCAGAAAGGAATCTCACAGGTTTAGAAAAAAAAAAAATCAGTGTAAATTGATTCACTGCCCATTTTATTGCTCTGAATGCCCCATCAGCATCATACAAGATATCACTACTATCTAAACTATAGCACTACAGTTGTAAGCTGTCAGCATGCCATGGCTTTTCTTGGATGGGAAAGATGTACTGCTGAGCACAGAGAATGATTTCGTTAACTGTTCAATCTGGCTTTTTTTTTTTTTTTTTACTTTGGTCCTGCAGCTGGGAAAGCCCATGTCCATACAGAACAGTTATAATTTGCTGTGTTGAAGGACACGTCTCATTTGCTTCTGCTGTGTCTCAGAAAAGGAGACAGGATCTAATGAATAAAATGTGCCACATCACTTTACATGACAAATCCAAGGAACTTCAGGGGAGGAAAACCTATTCAACACTTCTTTCTCTGACAGTTTCCAGCCATTTTCAGTGCAGCATGTGGTGCTGCAGCAGTGGAAATGAAGCCTAGTTGGATTCAGGTTGGGCTGTTTTTGTTGTTTTGTTTTGTTGTTTTGTTTTTGCCTTTTAAGACAGTCTGCAGTATCTTTCCTAAAGATTACAGATTCCATTTTTAAAGCACACCTATACTATTAGAAGAACCTGAACAAAACTTTTGGGGGGAGAGATGGGGAAGTGAAGGAAAGGCACTTACATAAAAGAATAACTCCTACCGTCAAGTATCTACAATTTGCTGCAAATAATCAAAGGTAGCACTTCCCAAAGAATACATTACAAGTAATTCTTGTAATCAACACTTATCTGTAAGAGGTCTATTTTTAAGAAAGAAGCAATCTGCCTTATACATAGTATTTGATTAACTTCTTAAGTAATCAGCAAAAATCTTGCCTAACTTTTCTTGAAGACTTTAATTTCGGAAAAAAAAAAATCCATCTAAAATGAAAGTTAAAAAAAGTCTAAACATCCTGTTCAAAGCAAACTAAATATAAAACAATCTGCTTACAGTGAGAAGTTTGGTTGTAATTCCAGCATCTACCACAGCCTTATGCATAGCACGCAAAGTCTCCAGCTCCGGAGCAGCAATAAACACTACATAGGGCATGAATTCTGAAGTCCTCAGTATTTTCAGGGCCTAGAAGCAATGAAAACGAAAAAAAAAAAAAAAAGTATGAGAATAAATCACAAGTTCCCATTACGTAAGGGGCACTGCAAAACTAGTCTGCTACAATGAGCAGAAGTACATGATAGGTGAAGATTCTTCTATTTCAGAAATTCCTGCATTGCCTTTTGAAATGCTCAACATCATTTATTTCCTTGCCTAAAAAGATCTACTGCTGCTCTGCAAGGCTCTCATTTCCACGCAGAATCATTTTTTTCCCCAGTCTTTCTAAGTTATTCCAACTAAGTGCCATAAATGCAGAAATCCAGTTGGCAATTCAATCTTTAAACCAGGTAAGAAGCCTTCAGATTTAAAGGCACAGCTCTTCTACATTATACTCCTACTTTTTGAGTGTCACATAAATGATATACCTGTGGATTCACATCCAAGATGCAGGTCCTTCCTGTCTGAACAACTTCAAGGATAGAATCAATTTTAGTGCCATAAAGATTTCCTTCATATTCTCCATGCTCTAGGTATCTGCCAGCTTTAATATCCATCTCCATTTCAGCTCGTGACACAAATCTGTATGCTTGCCCATCCTTTTCATCATCCCTTGGCTTTCGTGAAGTAACTGAACAAAAAATATAAAATATAAGCTGAATTATCTTTTTGTACTTGGAATACATGCAAATGACTGGACTGCTATTAAATCAGGGAAATTATAATACGGAATAATATGTAATTATAATTGTTCCATATACAGATTCATCAGTTATTCTAGTTTACATTCCAGAACTAAGCACAGCCTTTCCCATTCTCTTTATTCTTTCCTATATGTTGTTTATCTCCAATTCTTTATTTCCTTTGCATTACTCCTTCAGACCATATACAATATTCATTCATGCCATTTTTTTAATTATTCACTGAAAATAATTCTTTAAGTAACTTTGAAATCAAATGGAACTTTAACTCTCAAAAGCCAAATTTACTTCCGAAAAATCAACTGTGTACCCTTCAGTATACTCCTCTCGCCAAAAACACCATCACATCCTTCATTCACTCTTCAGGGCAGAATTACCTGAACTAGCTATAAAGAAAAGTTAGTTCATATACCAGAAGAAGCCCAGCCACAGTGGCAAGAAACATAGTGGAGGCCAGCTGATGCTACTTTCCAGGACAACCTATCCTTTAAAGTGAAGAAAATTCATTGCAGAGAAATTGAAGCCCACACTTAAATATAACATTAGCAGCTAGCTTGGATGTTGGCATGCAGTGTGCAGCACAGATATTATTTAAGTAAGAAAGTGAAAATTAAATTATATAATAAAGTATCAGATTATTACCTACTTTGCTGCCCTATCATTGTATTACTTGCCCACTATCTGCATTTAATTAGATTTCACTTCAGAATACGGATCCCTTTGGCAATACTGTGATACAAGTAGGAAACACTCTCCCCTCTCCAGGAATTCCTATCCACTTCATCATTATAGAAAACTCAAGCCCCAAAAGCAACGATCTTCTGAAACTGTTAATAATAAAAGTTTTACTAGAACACCTAATCTTAGACAAGATGCTACAGATTGACTGGAAGTATAATGATTAATATAATACTTAAAAAAAAATCAGCTTGAAATATACTTTAGAGAATAAGCTGTAACAGCTGACAGCCAGATGACCTGACAGTTCAGCTATGCACCCTGTAGAAAAAAAACACAGCCACATTTGCTGGATCAGAACTCAACACCAAGGCCACACATGCAGGTATCTCAGGCATTTTCCAACAAACACATGTAAGAAAACATCTTTTGTGAATAATCAGAAGTTTTCCTAATCAAAGAAACTGAGGCCAATTAAAATTACTTATTAACCTACTTAAAATCTTAGTATCATGTATAGAGATGCCATATACAACAAATATGCACTTCATGACATGCATGATGAGACTGTCAGATGTCTGGGTTGGGAAAGTTAATTCATATGACGTTATGACTTTAAAGGGCATTCAAAAGCTCTAAATACAAGCATTTTAACATTGTGTTACATTACTTATTTGCAGCTATAGCATTTTAGAGAAATCAGTGATTCTAAGGGCTTTTTAAATGGAAACAAAAAGTTTAAAAAGTAACATAAAGTTTCTTGCTACTTCGGCAATAAAAATAATGGGATTCCCAAGGGAAGGTTTCCTTTAAAGAAATAACACTGCAAAATCAACCTTGTTATTAGTCACAAATTTCAGCTCTTAGCACACTGGCCAGTTTTAATGTTTAGAAACTGAGTGTGGTGTAAATGCCTGAAGTAACTAGGAAAATAAAACTAACATTCACACTTTTAAGGAAAAGGTACAGCATTGAAGAGGCTTTCAGGGTAGGGCATAACTGCATTATCTGAGCATTCCCTAGGCTCCCAACCTTAGATGCTATCGCGCTGGGGAAACTTGGTGTGCTAGCTCTAAGGAACACCACGGAGCGTAGAGTGGAGTGGAGACACCACGGCTAGGCTCTGTAATCAGGTGGGGCCTCGATTGTTCTTGTGCACAAAGCTGCACTTTTTGCCACCCTAAGCCAAAGACCTGTCATGTTTTGACAAATGCTGTACCCTAGTGTACTTTTTGCTCATTATAATATCATTATAATACCAAAACACACCTCCATCCCAAAAGCTACCCGCCTCCGAGGTGCGACCACCCCTCACTGAGCATGCGCTCTGAATTTCTCGGAGCCTATTACTTTAAACGGAGACGGGAAAACTTTACACCAATCATAACTAAGATATGCTTGACTAGAGCCACTCAAGCTCCACCTAAAAGATAGAAAATATAAATTGGCCCAAGAGAGAGGGGATGTTAGGGAAGATACCATCGTCAGGGGAGATACCATCCCAAGGACATACAACATCCTTAGGACCTCCTGACTCCTGGGATCAGTCGACGGGCTGAGCCTCTCTTCCCCCCCCATTGGGACGCCTTTGGGTGAGATCTGAATATTTGCTTATAAATCTCTATAGAGTCTTTGATCCTTTTAACGCGTTTATTTCTAGGCTGCGCACCTGTAACACCTAGAACACCTAGAACACCTAGAACCCACACCTAGAACCCACACCTAGAACCCACACCTAGAACCCACACCTAGAACCCACACCTAGAACACCTGTAACACCTGTGTATTTCATGCATACTAGCTTGCTTTTGCAGATAGTCACTATCACCGGCAATCCAAAAGAACCTGATTATCTGTTGCTGTAATAAACCATACTTGATTGCATTGTGATAGCTCTCATTAATGCAACTAGGGTGAGGGTGGTTATCCGTGATAGTTCAGTGTTCTGAATCTAACCAGACCCCCAGACGGTTAATGCATTGTTGGTGAATGTCTGAACGGACCCCCAGGTGGTTAATACGTTTTTGGTGAATGTCTGAGTGGACCCCCAGGCGGTTATTACGTTTTTGGTGAATGTCCGAACGGACCCCCAGTTTTGGTGAATGTCCGACTGGTTCAGTACTCTGAATCCAACCGGGCCCGTAACGGTTAATCAGCTACACCCCTTTAACGCGACACTGAGCAAATTAGGAAGGGAAACAAACAGAAGGGAACAGATTGTTTTTGAAATTCTGAAGGGCACCTGGCAGAAGGAGAACTGTAATGTAGCTAGGGTTGTCTGGTCAGAGGTCAAACAGACAGGGGATGGTTTAGGAAAATAAAGATCTAAGTGAGCAAAAGCAACATGTGACTGGAATGAAGGCAAGAAAACAACTGAATATTTCCGTTAAGTGAGAAGGTTCTTTTTCTGAAGTAGAAAAAGTTCTTTTTCTTCTTAGAAAAAAAAAGATAATGGGCTTGGGTCTAGATAGGAAAAACTTCAGATTATCATACAGACCTTAAAGATCACAAATGCTTCTATTTTATTGGAAGTTTACTTGTTTCCTTTCCCTAAATTTCTAATGCTGAAGTAACAATTTATAATGCCCAGGGTCCTTCTACAGATGGAAAACTAAACAGCAGACCGGAGAAGCTCCACTGGCTGTTGATCACAGAGACTTCTAGCAACTTCCAAAATCCCCTCAAGTGTGACTGAGTGGTGACTGACACTGAGTGAACCTAGCAGATGGGCAGATACTTAATGACTGGCAGATGCACACACAAAAATTGGTTTTCTGCAGCCTCAGTAATGGTTAATTGGGAGTTGCAAATATTTTCACTGTAGTCATATGATAGTCCAGTTGTATGAGAAGATGAAGAATGTTTTGTTCTTTTGTTTCCCCACTCCCTGTTTTTATACACCGAGAAAATTACTTCTACTATGAATCAATGAATGGGATGAACTTAGGCATTTACCAGATAATAAGAAACTTAACACATGACATTACAATAGGATTGCTGACAACTCACATGGCACCGTAGTTCCAAACCTAGTAGGATTCAGTACTATAAACCTGTTCTTCAAGCTTCTTCGCCCCACTCCTTGGGCACCAATTAAGACCAGTGTTTTCCTCTGAAAAGGAGGCATTTTGGCTACTTCCTCATATATCTGGATTTCATGACGATCAAATTCTACATTGAGAAGCATACAAAAAATAGTTAACAGTCAGAACTTTAAGAAAGAAAAAAAAACAATAAGGACTTCTGCTATATCTGAACAGACCTTTTGTGAATATAAATAGGAGTCAAAGGGCTTTAAGTCTGATATAAGCTTTCTTGCTTTAAATTGGTATGGAGATAGAACTTACTCATGGAAAACGTAAGGTCAGATTATTGTCTTTACTACCAGGGAGAAATTTCTAAATGGACCAGAATGGGAAAATTGTGATTAACAATTCAAGAGATGCCAAGGAATTTCAGATTGGTTGAGGTTGGAAGGGACCTCTGAAGGTCACCTCATCCAATGTCCCTGCTCAGGCAGGACCACTTACAGCCACTTACCCTGTCCAGATGGCTTTTGAATCTCCCTTTCCAAGGAGGGAGATTCAACAACCACTCTGAGCATTCTCTCTTGACCTAGGCAGCCCAGAACTGGACGCAGGACTCCAGGTGCAGCTTCACCCATGCTTAGCAGAGGGGAAGGATCACTTCCCTCAGCCTGCTGTCAACAAAGCTTTATATTTTTTTCTCTTTGTTAAAAGTTCTTCTCTGACTTCTACCTACTGCAATCTGTATTTAGCACCATCATACCTTCACTGGTTACAACTACTTTTAAACCAAAAAACCTACCTGACTTACTGAATGTATAATCAAATATTTTACTGCAAATCTTTCTGCTTTGGATACACCAGGCCATCTGCAAGTTTAGAAGCATACAGAACTTCAATTCATACATAATATTAAGAGATACCTGCATTTCTTGTAGTGAGATACATCATCTTTTTCTTTTTTTTGCTGCTTATTGTTCCACAGAAAGGCCCTAAAAATAAGAATTGAGACAAACTCACCATTTTTATTTTTTTTTTTTCTGGACATTTACATTTCTGATTTACATGAACTTGTGCAAGCTTAGATTAATTATGCTTACAAGGACTATTTTCAAGAAAATACCTTTCTTTTTTAAACCTCTATATATTCTAGGGAAGGAGTTTACAGCTATTTTCATACACATTACACAGTGTAGTAAGAACGGAACAGAGGAAAAAAGTAGTTTTTCAGGGAAATTTTCTAAAAAACACTAGAAAAATACTTCAAAAACATTGAATTTATTAACTTTCAGTGTATACTGTAAGAACATATCTGGAAAAAAGTGCTAATTCTTATCACTTTCCCATCTCATTTAGCTTTTCATCAGCAGGTGGTAAAACTGATTTATGTATCTACAAAGACGCATATACTCTAGACTTTGTCCTTTAGTCAAAGCCCAAACCATATATATATAACAATCAGCATTTAGCATTATTTTAAGTATTCTCATACAGCAGTTTTCTGCTATCTGTGAATGTAGGAAAACCATAACAAATGGAGTCAGAGCAAAACATATTCCTGAAATTCCTTAAATCTCACCTGAGTTGTCCCAGTCCCTCCTAACAAAAGCCTTTCTCTTCTCTTCCAGGAACTGGCTAGGAATAAGCCCCGCGCTTCCTCCTTCTTTGACATGACTAGCCTGGAAAAGAATAAAATCAAGGGTAACTTGTGAGAAGCATTTTTCTCATGTCATGTTAATGACCGATTTTCACACTGCCAGAGTTTCTTAGTGGTGAGTACTGATACATTTATTACTGTGACACACAAAATCAAAGTCAGACATGGATGTTAAAGATCTGTCTTACAGTAACAGTGGTTTGTCACTGAAGTATTAAAACCTTAGGAAACAAATCAGATACAAGTTTTCCCATTCTATTAGTCTGCTTTTAGCCTGCATTAGTCAGCCATAAACTTTTGGCATAAAAATCCTATGTAGAATTCAATAGCTCCAGCTCTCAAGTGATAAACCCCAAGACTTTGTAGTACACAGTACACTTATTTTGTACTCTTGATCTGCTCCAAACATCTTCAAGTGCAGCTTATTAACTGTCACTTTATATACTGGGAATGCCATGAACACACATCTAATCATGCCTTTTGTAATACTTAGCTACATATTTAAATGAGTATTCTTCAGTATTCTTAGTAACAGAAGTTTGGCTAAGATTCTCTGTAAACTCATTTCAAGGCAGGCCAAATTCTCAGCAAGCTTAATGCATACAAACACACCGTTATGAAACGTTACACTTTTCTTCCCCATAACCAGTCAGCCTTGTCACTTGCTTACAGGAGCTGTTTGCTTTTCAAGTTGTACACTTCTACTTATTAGTGACTAATTGATTTTTCACAGCTAGTGAATTCCCAGTAAGATTCTTGGGCACTCTAGCGTTTCCAGAATGCCCAAGGAAAAAAGAAGTTTTTCCCCAGCAGCATAATCTGCACAGTATTACCTGCAACACATTATATTGCCTTAATGCATTTAATTTTTGCCATTCATCGAGGGCATTTATGAGCATTTCTAATTTATTTCTCCTGGATTCCCACAAGTGGCAAGCTGAAGAAATTTGAAAAATAATATAGAAGACAGCATGTAAGCTAAATGTCAAACTACTCTAGAGTTTTAGTGTTGAACTTCTGAAACAAATTAACTTGGCAGTAATAATTTTTCTGCGCTTCCTCACATTTTTATTCTCTTTTTTTTTCTGTTATTACCATCACTGACAAGCAACAGAATTCAGCAACAGTTGTTGATGTATATTCAAAAATTTTTGTCGCTCATAATGAGATGTATATATATTGCTCTCAAGTGACATTTGGCTCACTATTGCTTGTTATCTGGCAAAGGGTTTGAATTTTAGGGGTGGAAAGGGAAATTAGTAATGCTAAAATCTTAAGCCTAGCTTGCCACTGCCACTTGCAAAGTTGAGTATCTTGGCTGAGAAAAGTGTCTTAAAGGTTCACTTGTATTTTCAAGGGCACTGATCATGTTCAGCTGTGCAGATAGTGTCTTGAAAAAATAAAGATAGCATAAGCACCCGATTTTGCTTCTGCTGAAGGACTGAATGCAGAAACGCAATCTGAACAGTTAATATTTGAAACAGTGACATTTAGATTATAACATGCACGTTATAGCTTACAGACAGTGACCACTGTGAAAATAAAAGGTACATTTTCTCCAGAACAAATATTCTCACCCCTCCTCAGATCCATAAGGTTAATTTCCCTCTCTCCCCTCAACTCTGGGCTCATAAGGGGTCCACTTCTTCCCCAGTCACTGCCAGGGAGGGCTTACCACAATTTACATCGTCAATCTAAGACTTTATGCTAGAAATTACCCACTTATAACTGATTTTGGAAGATCTTATGACTTATGACACATGAACAAAGACATATAAATAGTAGTATCAGCAAAAACACAGTATTACGCATAATTTATATATGATTTTTAATATTTTGACTTAAGATACTAATAGCTTGAAATTGGATTACACTAAATATTTGTTCTTGTATCTACTGTTAAAAAGAAGTAATTCATTATTTAAAGAGTTTATATTTAAAGTGTTTATTATTAAGGCCGTTAGTGAAGCTTTTTTTTTTTTCTTTTTAACTTATTTATTTACCAACCTGCCACCAATTTGGATCTTCACGGTTTACGATCTGAAGAATTTCTCCTTTAGAAAATTTCAAACCTGCTTCTTTGCATGGGATGAGGTTGTCATTATACGGATTATAATCAAAATGACACTTCACAAAAACCTGAAATGTAAAAAAATTTACAATACTTACATGTTACAAAATACATTCTTACTAATTTACCTGTCAAAGCTAAAAAGTGTCTTTATTTACAACATAAAAATTTTGACATGATCAGATTTTCCTTTCACAAGTAAAATGCAAGCTATAGGAAAGAAAACTAGCAAAGTACAACAGCTGAGAAAGCAGAAATAATCTGCAGTACAAACCTTGGTTGAAAGAGCTTCATGACAAAAATAAAAAGCCAACTGCTCAATTTGGGCAATGTATTCATGTTTGCACTTCAATGTGTCCAACTTTAGCATTCTGACTGTAAGTTACTTAAAAATATATACATTAGTCAGGGTGTGAGCACTGTCGTCAAGGTTTGTAGAATCCTAATAATTAATTTTGCCATGAACTCAGTATTTGAAGAGAAACAAAATATGTGACTACTTAAGACTCAGATTTGATGCAGGTGAAGGAACAGTGAGCCGCGTTAGTAGATTGGAAACATCTTTGACTTTTTTCTGTCAGCTAGGAGAGCAAAGGAAGCAGCATACCTGCCTCAAATACAGCACAGCAGATAGCGTTTGCTCAGTGCAAGCATAGTCTATTATAATCATGGGCATTAAGACTGTCTGAAGGAGTCCCACAAGATGTTTCAAATGCACTAATTAAAAGCAATAAATCACTCCTGCAGTGGAGAAACTGACAGTCTACAGCAACAACAAAATAGTAAGTAATAGCCACCATACAAGTTCCTTCCTAAAAAGTCACAGAATTCAAGCTCCTCTGTTGAATTCAGTGTGTTTCTGAATTCCACAAAACATTACCTGGACGTTGGTCATGTTATAAGCACATGCACTTCAGTGCAGTTTAGTGTGGTTGTGGCTAGGTCATCAGAGGTCACTGGATGTCACAGAAACATGCTTGGAAGCATACAGACACTTAATCTTAGATACTAACAATTTTTTAAGCAGACTGATGTGAGGTGTCAACTTACTCAGAAAACTTATTCAGAAGATACCAAATAGAAGTTCTTTTGGCATAATTGTTAGAAATGTGCTACTGACCTGTTGAGGAATAACAGTGTCTCTGTAGCTGGGGAGAATCTTCAGAGTGACACTGCCACTAATATTTTTCAGCAGTTCCTGCAGTTCCTTTGGATTGTTTCCAACTTCATGGCCATTCACCTCTTTAATAATATCACCTACGTGCAGAAGACCTTGTCGATCTATCATTCCACCATGGAGAATTCGTGCTATTACCAGATCATTGTTCTCAACTCTGAACGTAACACCCTGAAAGAGGTACGTGACACATAGTTTACCATTGTTTGTATTTCAATTTCATTTTACCTTCACCTCACGCAAAATTACATAGCTTTGGGATACTCTTATCTCCCCCAGTGATAGCAGACAATAATAGTTACTATGATATAACAGTTTATAATACATAGGTAAGTATCAAGTGACGCAAAAGTGCCTTCAGACAAGGTTTTCATATGACTGAACAATGACTGTATTGTTCTTGATTGCACACAGTCCTGTCATTTTGTATCAAGACCAAACAGATGTTGTGTTAGTCAGTTATGCTAGCAAGTAATTCTACCTAATGACTGCCTGTTCACTAAGGCATAACTTTTTTGAGAGAACAGGATGGAGAGCACACAAATACCTTCCTGTTTCAACCTCTCAATACCCATCCAATCTCCCATTAAAGTACACAACATAATAAGGGTAAGAATGAAAACTTAATGCAAGAAATTAAGCACACACAAATACTTTCACTCACATTTTAAATTAAAGACATCTTCAGTTACTTACCAGTGGTTCTCCTGCTCTTTTGTGAATTCCAAGAATACGAATAGCATCTACTGGAACAATTTGGTTGTTCACTGAAGAATTATTGACTTCTGGGCTAGAAGGGGGGGAATCGTAACATTTTGAAGCCACAATATCATGTGCTTCCAAGAGTGACTGCAAGGGAAAAGAAAAAGCCTTTTTTAAAAATCATGAAATAACCATTTGTAGAAGGGCTTAGTGCTGGAAAACCACTGAAACTATCCTTTGAGATCAGATCTTGAAACTATTATTTCATAAGGAATACAGCAAAAATCAATTTTCACATTTGTATGAAATATAAGTAACTCACATGACCTGCTAACCCTACTGGCTTGGCAAATCTGCTCTCTTTTTGTAAATGTAAGTGCTTCTTCTTAAGAAAGTGTAAGAGAAATGTAGTGAATTTGGGAGGAATGTGTGAACTTTAGGGAAGAAGATGGAAAGAGGATGTGTCTACAACAGTGGAGGATGTACCTACAACAGTGTTTCACCTAATGCAACAGTATCCAAGCAAATGTTTAAGTAAGCAAACATCCCACTGCAAAAAGATGAAGATAACTCATCATTAGGTACTTGTGTTTAATGTAATAAAGTTTTCCTCCACAGTAATTTGGAAGTAACTCTAAATTAAAGATAATTACAGGTATGTAAGGATTTCTAGCAATCTGCAGAATGAGTGCTTTCTGCTTGCATAAAACCAAGGCAGAATTCTAGCAACAAATGAATCCAAGTTGAAAGAATTCACATTTAGAAAGCAAGAGTTCAGACTTTATACTTATAGTTAATAGTGTTGTTACCAGTGCATGTATGTAAATACAGACCAAACGGAGGAGATCCAAATAAATATCATCATCTCTGGAAGACAAGGAAATTTAGACTTGATTTTCTGGTAAAAAAGGAACTCGAAGATTTAAAGAAAAGATCTGTAAGGCAATATGCACAGGTAGAACAACATAAAACTTGTAAATTAGAGAGCAGAAGCTTTCAGTCCTAAGGAGGAAAAGGGACACCCTACAGCCACCACACATCATAGCTCAAGATAAAGCGCCTGTGACGCACAGTCTCTCTGACAGAGAGAGGAAGAGGAAAACAAGCAAGTAGGAGAGATGTCTGTTAGGCCCATCTTACCTCAAATAACATAGACGGCTTTGTTTCAAACACTGACCTGAGGAGGTATGGTCATGTTTGATTACTGACTGGTGTCAAATAAACAGCTAAAGAGAAGTCACAGAGAACAGGACGTCATAGGGCCTATAATGACATGCTCATGCCAAAGGAAAGCAGGAAACAGTACTAGAAAATGGAGTAGGTGGACAGGCCTATGAATTTAACAATTTTGCTGCACGGTCTGCTCCATCCTTCTGTAAGTCACCTCTAACCTCACAGTTGTGCGACCACGTTAGCATAGTGCTAAGCTCAACACGCAAACCTCCAAGTGTCATTTCTGAACAGTCATTTTAGACTGCCTACCACGTAATGACCCTACTGATATTTCAACTTGAGATTAGAAGGAGCTACTAATTCATGGATTCTGCCCCTGCCATTAAGACTGTAAAGACAGCTGCTTATTGTGGCTGCTCTGATACTGTGGACATAAACCAAATCAAATGGAATAGGAAAAACAATCATTTATTTAAATCAAGCAGCTGTCAGATGGTAGCAATTTCTAATTCTTCATCATACAAGGCACATGCAATCCAGAAAACACAGATACTCATTTGCCAATGTTTTCAAGCATCATTTTTGGATCTTTCTACATTTCCAAAATGAAGCCAACTAGTATTAACTATGTTTTTTGACACATTACCACAGTCAGAACAAGTAGATGTACCTGTACGACACTTTGTTTTCTCTTTTGGTCACGCGCTAGTAAAAAACTGTTCCCAAAACTCCTGACCACAAACTACTTAATTTCTTGTGTAGCCTCACACATGAGCATACTTCCACAGCTTGCTGCCCTTAACTGTTATATAATTTATGGATTATAATCTGATTCACAGCCAAAAAAAGTACTAAGCAAACAGTCTGTGCCATCCTCTTCAAATTAACATGCTCCATAACACTTTTCAGTTCTTAAAAGCCTCATCCCATCACTTGCATTCTGATTCTATTTATTCGCTCAGTTTCATGGATAAGCATGAATTCATTCAACTGCAGCTTAACCATCTCTTGATCACAAAATCTTTTTCCTGCTATTTCCATGATGGCTGAGTCACAAGGGGACTATCAGGGACTGTAAACTGCTGCCCATAATTATAAAATTATTTCTTTGAGACGAGCAATACCATTAATTTGGAAAACATAGAATCAGCCTGTAAAACAGCTACGCAGTAGTAACCATGAAATTTTAAGAGAGCTAAGTTCTTCATGGTGGCTTGCTATACGCCTTTCCTGAAGTGGAGACAGGAGGCAAATTACATTTTGTGTAATTACAAGTCACACGGAATTTTTTCTTTCTTCCTTACAGATCCCTTCTTGCAGAATTTGGAACATGTCTCCCTGGAACAAATGAGGCAGAAAGGATAGCAATTCTGTAGTAATTAGTTATTTTTCTATTTCCCCATTAGAGAGGGAGACATAGAGTCTCCCCAAGACTCAAGAAGAGAATTGTATCCACATCCTGGACTGCAAATTTTCTTAGAAGTTCTTCTAGAGTGGTCTTTACTATGATATCAGTTAAATAAAAACCCTTGAAATTATGCAACTTTGCCCTTAATTGGTCTTAATGCCTGCCTCCAGATGGGGAACAGCAACACAAAATTAGGGGCCAAAAAGTACACTCTAATTTTAGGCTTCCAAACTGAGTTACATCAGATCTATTTTTACAAAATTAGTAGCTAGCTGCTTTTTGGCTGTATGCAGCAGCCCAAACCGCTCATTGTTTCTGCAAATGAGACTAAATGTCTCACAACAAGCACTTGGAAAATAAAAAATACAAGATTAAGCAGCTTCAGACTTATTTTTAAGTGAACTCAGTAATTCTAACAGAGTGAAGGGTAGTCTAATTCTCAAAGGCAGCATTTACCTGTCTTAGCCATTAAATAGACTTTTTTCTTTAGCTTCCTACCTGACTCTTTGTGTACTATCCAGGTGTTGCAACAAATGAAGTAGGGAGCCCTAGAAATAGCTTATTTCTCTTACATACCCATGACTCACCCGATGGTACAGTGAAAGGAGCAGGCAACCTTGTTAAGAGTATGTAATAAACATGACATGAATTTTTAAAATAGGTTCCAAAAGAGAATCAAAGAGCGTAACAGTAAGTCTGATATTGATACTAAACTAATTAGAAGATCATGTAAACAAACACACAGAGAATGACCAAAGTATTTTTGCATTGTAATTACCAGTTCCTCCAAACTCATCCTCTCCCTGTCCAGTCCCAATTTCTACTAAGGGGATCTGCGTGAGATCGAAGACAGATTTGAAAGTTCATTCAACAGTAAGTCTCCAAATCATAGTCTTAGTCATGATGCCATTTTGGACAAATAAGAATGCAAGGGAGGCCAACATACTGTTCTCCAGAGCAGGCAGAGGAACTACCACCAATCACAAAAGCTACTACATTAAAGGCTGAGGTGTTAAAGCGTTTCCTATTTCCATCATGCCTGCGTTAAATGGAAATGCACATAAAATTGAAAACTTCAAAAAAAAAAAAAAGCCTTATTTTTTTAACTTGTACACCCAAAAATGTTTTTATGACTCTATATGTGTCCGCCAAAAGAAGCACATTTATACTTTGACAAAAGGTTTGCTTATGTTTTTATATAGGAAAGAGGTGATACCAAAGACTAAAATAATGCTCGTGCTTAACCTCATGACTAGTTCTTTACCGTGCATTCAGAGTAAAATCCTACATTAAAATTGGCTACAGGTCAGTTTAATTATTAAACTTAGATTTGTATGTGTACAGTGATAGAGTGGGTAATATAAGCAGGTGGCACCTGAAAATGAGGCTCCTTCAGTATTCCAACCAATTCTGCAATGTTCTCATCTTTATTTATTAAGGGACTGATGTCTTCAAGAATTTCATTCACCAGCTCCAGATTGTTGTCACTGACAGCCTCAAGTTTAGAATCTTCTAGTCGCTCATGAGCCTGTAAGATAAAATAAATATGCACCCTTCAACAGGAAAGCAGCAACAGTTACATATAGTCCAATACATACATTTTGTTTTTATAAATGCTGAAGGATCCTTAACTACTAGACACAACAAAAATTACGAACAGCACCTGTCAGATATGCTTGCCTGTCCATACTTACTATAACCTCCATGCTATCTACATACATCAAACAGTCCTCTATGAACAGTAGCATGCCTCACATCTTTTCTGCTTCAGAACCTAGTACTTGTGTACCTTCTAGAAGGACAAAAAAGAAATACAGGATCTGCTCAAAAAATATAGTCTGCATTTGAGAAACATTTATCTGAACCTCCTCCTACTCAGACACATTTGAATGACAAATTCGACAGGAAAACCTGCATAACTAAGGGAATTCTGAACAAGGTCTGCAGCAAAGAAGAATAACAGTATGTTGGGCTGGAAGGGTAAGAGCATTGGCTGCATGCTGAGGAAGGTGATCCTTCCCCTTTGCTCAGCACTGGTGAGGCTGTACCTGGAGTCCAGTGTCTGTTTCTGGGCCACCCAGGTCAAGAGAGACACGGGCATGCTGGAGAGAGTCCAGTGAAGGGCCACTATAATGACAAAGAGACTGAAGCATCTCTCCTGTGAAGAAAGGCCGAGAGAGCTGGGAATGTTTAGCCTGGAGAAGGGAAGGAGCCTCACCCATGTGCAGAAATACCTGAAGGGTGGGTGCAAAGAAGACAGAGACAGGCTCTTTCCATTGGTGCTCACTGGTAGGACGAGGCAAGAGGGACAAACTGACACACAGGAGGATTTGAGTATCAGGAAATACTTTTTTTTAATGTGAGGTTTACTGAGCACTGGCACGGGCTGTTCAGAATGGTGGTGGAGTCTCCTGCCTTGGAGATACCTGAAAGACGTCAGGACACGATCCTGGACAAGCAGCTCTAGGTGGTCCTGTTAGGGTTAGGGTTAGCAGGGGCATTAGACAAGACGACCTCCAGAGGTCCCTTCCAACCTCAAGCGTTCTGTGATTCTGGGACTACTTTTTCATCTTTCTAGAGCTATTGCTGCAGATACAACCCTTTCCTAAACATTGCAGGCACTTAAATTCAAGGAAGGGTAGGAGATTTGAGCTGCAAGAGAAAACACCTCATAAATTGAAATGCTTTGCTTATTTATTATAGGCAGCACTTTATCAAAAATTAGGGACTAAGAGGAGGCCAAAAATAGCTAAGACTCTCAACACGTTCTGAATTAAGAGTTGTTTACAACACTGTAGAAACAAGAAGTTAACAATTGCTGTGGCAGGTAAAAACACAAAAAAATATCAGACCAATTTAAGACTCCTCCATATATACTTCTATATATTTATAATTTGTATGTGCATGCATCTACTTGCTTATCAGTGCTTTGAAACAGATGTTAACATAAAATTTTGCTAAATCCAATAAACTTTGTTCCCTGAAATCAACTGGGTATTGAATTTTACTTCGCATCTATAAAATGCCATTTCTGGAGAAACAATGGTCACTGGAAAGGCTAACTTAACACACAGAAAGGCATTTCAGACATTCCCAAACACCCTCAAACCAAATGAGCATGATTACAACATTCATACAGCTTGGCACCTACACACATCCTCCTTAGTAAAGGAATGCTATTTTGTATATAACATGTACAGTAAACAGTATTGTCTTTTAGAAGTTCCCTTCTTTTACAGCAAGTAGAAACCCAAATCTATTGACTTTTAAACACACTCCAACTTTTACAGGATTAGAGAATTTGGGTTACCTCCCTTGCTACTTTTCTTTAAAATGTTACCACTAACAAGATGCTTAATATAAATACAAATATCCTCACCCTTCACCCCAAAATCAAGGCCATCAATATACAGCAGAACAGAAAGTTTGTTCGTCAACAACTTCTTATCCTGTACTATGCTGGGGAGTAGCAGAATATGGAATGGTATGAATATTTAAAATAAAAAGGAATAGCAAACTTAGAGACTATATTTTAGTTCAGTTCATAATTTCAGCAATGCTAAATCAAGTATTTAAATTAATTAAATGTTCAGGTAATAAGGATTTTGCCTTTAGCAATCTGAAATCCTAAATACTGGACACCATCTGTTTATAGATTAGATTAGATATAGATTACATGAAAATGCATTTTACAATGATTTCACTTACTTTCCCTTTCCCCTCAAAAGCCCCTTGAAACATATTTACTTAGGGACATGGTTTAGTGGACATGGTTTAGTGGTTAATATTGGTGGCATGGGCATGGCTGTACCAGATGATTTTGGAGTTTTTTTCCAACCTTAATGATTCTATGGTTTTATTCTATATGTCAACTGGAAAAAAGTTAATAGGTAAACACAAACTTCAACACAAAAAAAACTACCAACCGCTGAAGAATGGAAAGATACAGTAAGTGAACCCTCTCCCAAAAAAAAGAACTCTAATATCCACCTTAATACCTTCATTCTAGACAGGAGAAGAGTGAAATTACCTTAATGCAACTTGAAAGGATTAGCCAAACTTGGCATTGCAAAATATTATAAGCATATACTACCCTTATTAATTGCCTTAATATTTTAAGGACTGAAAAGAAAAAGGTTTTGTTTTTTTGTTTGGTTGTTTTTGTCCTATTTGACTACAATATAATGACTGGTCTTAATAGCAGACTAACAAGGTGTAAGTTCTAAACTAAAAAGGGTAGGTTTAAATTAGGTATTTGGAAGAAATATGGTGGTGGGGCACGGGAACAAGCTGCACAGAGAGGCTGTGGATGCCCCATCCCTGGAACTGTGGAAGGCCAGGCTGGATGGGGCTTTGGGCAGCCTGGTCATAGTGGCAGGTGTCCCTGCCCATGGCAGGGGGTTGGAATTACGTCTTTAAGGTTCCCTCCAGTCCCAACCATTCTGTGATGCTATCATTCTAATCAAGAAAACTGAAAAGTCTTTTACATTTCTCTCCCTGTCTGAAATGAATGTGCACAACTAATCTGACCATCTGAGGGTCAGGCCAGAATTCACCATTCTGGTAAAACCAGCTCTTCTAATAGAAAAACAAGGTTGATACATTTTCAGAGTCAAACGTGTATGTATGAACTACATACACTTCATGAAATAAGTTATCGTTTTCATTCTTGTCCTTATTTAGCTCTGCTGGTTAGGAGTGGGGTTTAGGGTTCAATTCCGAAATAATTACAAAAGAAAAAAATGAGTGTGGTCATGCCATATGGACACAGTTAAATCTTTCAGCGTTCTAGATAAAGCAGGTTTATAGCTAAGATCTTGTCTGTTTCCTTTACAAGCACTTTTTTTTAAACATCTGCTAGTCGTTAAATTCCCCATAATTGCAATTGGCGATTAATGTACAAATTCTTTGTAAGAATAAATGCTTTGCAATGAAAATTTTCTTCATGATAAAATTTAAAGATGAAGTATATAGCAGACACTGAAGCTGGAAACAACCATAAGCAAGAAAGTGTTTTAACTTACTCCAGTAAGTTTAGTACACAAATTTTCCCCTCTGCAGTCATCTCACCAGCAGATGAGACACTTCCAGTATTTGTAAGTTTATTGCTATGCAACTTTTTCCACTTGTAACCCATGGTTTTGAACAGTTAAAGAGAAATGAATTCTTCTATGAATTCTTATGAGATGTTTTCTTTTCCAGATATTTTACTGAGCAAAATCCATGCACAACAATTCTTTAGCTTTACAGAGTATTTCATGGCTGCCTAGAGGGCATCCCTTCAGATGTCTGTTCATATTAAAGTGATAGCTATATTTAAGTTAACTGTTTTTTCTCATGTAAGGAACTTATTTTTATGAAAAATAAGAAAGAATGTAAGGGCTATATAATACTAACTGCATCTCCTTATGATAAGCTACATTTTAATTTCAGAAACCAAAGAATTTTTGTAAACATTATCTTATGTAATTAGTAACACTACCATCTAAGAATAAAATATTTGCTTAATTCAAGACCACAACTAAGAATAGTCCACATCTGAGCGCTGCTAATCAAAGGTCCCAGTATTACTCTGAGATCTAGGAAAGGGCCTGGAGAGAATACTCACTGGGTTGACCAGAAAGCCATTTTGAGCCAAAGACAACAAGACCTGTTTACGCCACGGGGGAAAGAAGGTTATTGCTCTCGCTTTTCATCGTTAGCAAAAATGCTAGAAGAGGGAAGGCATATGGGTTTTGCACACAACGGTGGTCACAAGACTATATTAATACCAACTACTTCTAATTCCAAGCATTTTGATGTTTTCTTCATAAATAATTTTAACAAATTATTTCTGGAGTCTCTGAAATTTTCTTTTTCCTCTAGATCTTCCATGTAAAGATCTTACTCTTCCAATAAATCACTGTATGCAGAAGTTAGATTATACCAAATACGCTACATCTGCTTTCAAGAACTCTTTCAAGTCCTTTAACAACACATACCAAACATAAAAGCCACTGCTGATACCTCAGATCCATACTCAATGTTCACACAGTAGTAACAATTGTAATATTCCCAGATTCTACTCAGAGCAGCGATTTGAAATACCTTAGCAAGTGATCTTACAATAGGGTTTTCCATAATTCCTTTGAGAAAAATCAGGTCTATTTCTTCAGCGCCTGTTGAAGTTGGCAGATCAGTAAGGTTATCCAGTACCTGCTGCATGGCTGCTGGTAAGAGGGAAAAAGAAAAAAATTAAGTAAGTAACAACCAAAATAGCCTTGGATAAATAGCAAAAACTCTGAAAAATACCACAATATTAAAATTAGAAATTTTAAGTAGCCAACTGCATACTGAGAGCAGTGGAAAGAATGGAAAACTACTTTCTTATTATAATTAGAAAGATGGAGGGGAGGTATCTATCCAAATCCTTATCACAAGCAACTTAAATCCAGAAGCAGCACATTCCTTTTAACGTTCACTACTACTTAAAGGCTGAGGAAAAATCATCAAGTATAAACTATGTATATGATATGCATAATATTGCAAATACAATAAAAGCAACTCATTCATGTCTGGTTTTGTCTAATCTCACTTTCAGATAAAGTTTTCAGCCCTTATGCACACCAAACACCTACAAGTTTTAAAATGCTTCGTCTTTTCCAACCTAAATGATTCTTGTTTCTATCCCCAACAGTCACTTACAACCTCCAGTTCTGACTTCCTGCACTCTGTGTAAGTGGTGCAGATGCTAACACCAACCAGGCACCACTGCATGCTGCATTGGGAAATATATCCTAGAACTTGAAATATATTTTACCTGCTCAGTGGAGGATTTCCTGGCTATCTACAAACTCACAGAGAGAACTACAGCAACTTGGGTTGACGGTGAGCAACGGTGCCAACGGAAAAGCCAGTAAACCCTACCATCCCAGCTGTCTTGTCCCACAACGTATTTATGATGTGAATGATGAGAATTTATTGTATAACTGTGTCCTTCAACCCTTTTATTTAAGATGAAGTCAAATAAAATAGATGTTTTTATGTTAGGCAGCAGGTCCAATATGTCCAAGTACTGCAGAATTCTTGTGCGTTTGGGCACGTAGCCCTTAGCCATTAGTGCAGTAGCCCTTAGCAGGAACTTCCCAGGCTAGTTCCAAGCTTGCAGAGATGAGCATGTGTAAGCTTTGGCTATGCACAAAAGGAGGCAGCACTGAAGAAAGCTATGATGTCCTTCACAAGGCAAACGGACATTTTTTCCATCTTTTCCAACATACGATTAAACATTCTCTTCTTGTTAGTATTATCTTAGTAGTGAATAACCTATACTCTTCTTGTTTTTAACAGTATTCTTTCAAACTCCCGCAGAGTTATGTTGCATGCTCAGACAGACACATACACAGGCCCACTAAAAATTTTCTGCCAGGATCTTCAAGAAGCTAAAAGTATTAGAAAAACCACTGTGTACTGCAGTGCTCCACATGCTGCACAGCAGTATACATCAAGACAATCAGAAAGCCTATATGCCCCTTCTCCCACACAAGAATTTACCCTTAACTTTCCTCGTGGCTTTATAATGAAAGCTATTATGAAACACAGCAAAGTAAGAGCACAAACAGCATTTCTCAACACCTACTTTCTAATTTGAATGCTTCCTAGAAAATTCCATTTCAAGGAAATATTTTCTGGCTGTGCTTGTTCCCAAGTGGAACTGACTTTTCAGCAATCAAATAATCTTATATACCACATTTTAACCACAGCACTGAATGTCAGAAGACTTGATTTTTTAATAATTTTAACCATACTTCTCGCTTCCAAAAAGCGAGTCCTCTGTGAAACCATGAGTAGGAAGGAAAATGACACTTACATTATGCTTTCAGACTTTGAGGCAATACTGTTTCTACTTTTTTAATAGACAAAGTGCTGTTAGCGATCACACATTGCATAAAGTCACCAAACTAAACAGCTGAATAAAATATAATACCACTAAGTATCTTTTTTTTTTTTTTTTGTTAAACCAGCCATAAGGTAAAGCAATAACTTGGTGTGTGAGAAAAATTTTAAGAAGCTTCAAAAGAGATTATGCAGCTGTTACCTGGTACAGTAACAGAACAATGTTTATATGGTTAACTTCACTTCTTTATATTCACCTGGCAAAAAAAATATATATTTTTTTTTATTTAAAAAATCTGACCACAATCAAATTTTGTTTTGCCAAAAGTCATCAAAAGCATCTTCGAACAGGAATTATGTTATTTTTTATTTTAAAAAAAAAGAAAAAAAAGAAAAGGCAATAACACATGGAGAAGCAGACAAGCTTTTTGTGATGGACTAGACTAAGCACTTTAATCTCACTTTTGAATTTACTATGCAAGTCATGGACCAACTTCAAATGCAGATCCCAGTCAATGTGAAATGCTAATATTTGCTCACATGTAAAAATAGCTTTGAAAGTTTAAGCAATATATTTACGTACATATGCTTTTGATCTTCATACATGTATTTTCAAGCAATTTGATTTCCCCACAGACAGTTTAACTGGGGAAAGGAGGGGAAAGGGAAATACACTTTGATAAACATGTGATAGATCCAACAGTCCCTTGTTTATTCATTTCTAGGAAAAAGTCTTCCTAAACTACCACCAGCAGGAGATGCATTGTCTCCAGGTTTAATTATAAAGCTCTTTCAGAGCAATGTAAATATACACAGAATTTCAAGTAGCGGTATTAACTGATACTTGAGTTCTTTCAGAAAAGTATCCTCTCTTCGGAGCAGCAGGGATGAAAGCTGAAGATGTAAATACTCACAAAGGGAAGTTTCACTTAAAAGATCAGGTCCCACTCAGAAAGAAATGGAACTAAGGAGTTTAGAGATCATCATACCTAAGTATCCTCTCAAACACTGCCTTTTGAGCCTCCCATCTCTTCTCATCTGGTAAATCTGCCCTTGAAATGTTGCTAGAGGTTTCTTGCTGGAGGAGGCAGAGGGAAAAAGATGAGCAGAACTTAAATGTAAGTCAGGCATGTGAGAACTAAGAACTACAGCGAACAAACACATAGCCTGGTAAACCACCAAATTGCATAAGCCTGGTTCTTGGGAGTGCTTTGGTGCCCAACAGAAAGGAATTGTCTGCTTTTCCTTCAGGGGAATTACCCACTGGGTGTCTCGCCTCTCTCATCCCAGCTTTTAGAAGAAAACTGGTGAGAACAGCCTAACTTTGAGAGCTCTACAATTTACCACATTCTCCCTCCAAAGACGAGCTTTTATCTATATCTGTATCTATTCCAAGATATATCTATATATATTCCAAGACCCATCTGGGTAAAACTTCAAATTCTCATCACAACAAAGGATTTGTTTTTGCAAGGACAACAGGTCCTAAGTATGGTTAACAAAACCAACTAGGAATACAGACATTACAAGAAACACACCTTGACAACAGCCTCCAGACAGAGCAGTCAGAACTGAGCAGCAGAAACGGGCTTTCAGCTGAGACAAGGTGGTGAAATAAAGGGGCTCTTAGGGAAAAGTGACAACAGAACCGATTTTGAGATAGGACTCCTGTGAGGAAATGAGATTACACTCTCCTCTCCAAGCCCCTGGCTTGGTAACAGGGAACACACCCACGCATACAACTGATTTCCACAGTCAATTTTCACAGAGCATCTTCATAACCATAGAAGGATGAAAGCCCCGAGCAAGACTCAGCAGGAAAGTACTACTCTGCTGTGTACACGCGCTGAACGATTTAATCCTGCTATGCATTCGACTCCACACTCAGAGCAGCCAGGTTGCCATTTGAACCCTGTATCAGAAAGGGAAAGGCAGATGTGGGAGGAAGGCATGCTAATTGATCTTCGGAGCAATCACTGGGCATCCTGAGGCGTAACACTACAAAAATCCCACTTAGGAATGTGAAATTTACTAACCAGAATTAACTCCTCCTAAATTCACATATAGCTCTTCAGATAGCAAAGAATTCTGCTGCAAAGGTTTAATCTATATACTTTACCTTACAGTGGTGAATTCAGATCAAACAGAGGTAAAATATGCTATGACAGACTCTTCCCTTCCAGTGCTTGGAGGAAAGGCAGGTTTTCAACAAGCTCTCAACTATGATTCTTCCATCAAATTTGATATTTTTTTCAGCGCCTAATTCTAGTCTAGATTAATTCTATGTAGAGGGAAGAGGAAGCATACATTTAAATAAATTTTCCAGATTTGCAGACAGAAGACAAACGTCTCACTCACGGAGGAAAATGAAAGCTTTCTAGAGTGAATATTTTGCACATATTTTTTAGCTCAATTGCATTTTATTATTCTCCAAGCTTAAAAACCAACAGGGAACTAAAAGCAAATTATGTATAATATACTGAAATAAACGTATGCATATTTATTTTCACAACCTACTGGTTCTTGCAGGGAGGTATGGTGAATACCTCCAGGACCATTTGTGAGGCTGCTGCTTCACACAAAATCTAGAAAGCTAGATTGAAGTCTTGTCTCATACACAAACTTTGGGACCAAGTATCTTATGTGACTAAAAGCCTTTTCAAGATGGAAATATCCAAAAGAAAAGTTTCACAAGACACCCAATATGCACAGACAAAAGAAAAATTGATTTGGCTAGCCTTTGGTTAAAGGCTCATACAGCCTTTAACCAGTGACAGCTGTTTCCATTTCTTCCGTTGGTACTCGTGGTTTTAAAGAAATGGATTTCTGCTTTAACAAACTGAAGGAGAAAAAACAAAAAAAAAAAAGTTATTTCGAATTGGCCACTTCTCACCCCAGTTACAAATCCAAACATTTTTTGCAGCCTACGCTTGAGAAAAGAAATACCTATGAACAAATTACCATTTGGATCTAGTACAAACAAGTTCATTCACTACCAGACTACTCACTAAGAATACATGAACCATTGACAAAGCTCTCCATTTCCAGATAAAGTTTCAGAAGCCAGGATAAAGTAAAAAGCTCTGGGAAAGCACTGTGTAGTAAGCACATACAGCATTGCGGTTGCATTGCCACAGCCAGCTGAGTTCACCAAGCAGAGATCACATTTACAAGTGCCTCCAGACGAGCTACACAAATGCTGTAGGACTGCAGTTTGGTTCCTCTGCCATGCCCAGATTAGTTGCATAATCCCACACAAAGTATGCCTGCATTGTTTGCTGGAGTCAGGTACAGTGATCCTTGAGCTCTCGAGCACCCATGAACCGTGCACCTACAT